TGCACTCCTTATCGTTGTAATCTTAGGTGCAGGAAACAGACTAATAAAAGAAACGAGAACAACAGCTTACAGCCACGCTAAGACTGAGCAACACTTTAAGTTACATGCTAATGCTTACTTGTTTATACTCTTTGTTTTGTGGGTTGGCATGCAAATATCTGATAATGGTTGGCTAATGGGAATGCCATTATTGTTTCAGATCTGAAAGTCTTAGTGTAAAAGTTTGCATAAATACATACTTTTAAGCCTCTGCGGGGGCAGACCGTGTGTGGGTGTGTGAGGACCCAGGAGCAGACACAGGTGAGGAGACCAAAACTAACTTGAACAAAAAGTGAGCCTTTTATTATGGCTGATAATCAGGGCAACAAAACAAGGCAGTAAGCACGGAGGCAAAACTAAACTGGAACCTAAACTGGGGAAAACTGAAAACTAAGAAAACTGAGACTTCACTATAAAGACTAGGAAGACAATGACAAGGTCACTGTGACGACTATGAACAGGACTTCGTGCAGGAACATGAAGGAACTATAAACTTATACGTGAACAAGCAACATTACCTGCACAGAGTCCTGAAACCTGACATGACATGAGGGGTGACGCACAGTCGACACGACGCTGAACACAGGAAGACAGAGGACTTAAATACACACATGAGGTGATCAGGGGATGTGGAGATACATGAGGACACAGCTGTGACACTACTGACTTTTAAACTACCATCCTAATGTTGTGTGTGTCGTGCCACGCTCGGGACACGCTTGTGTCCCTACCTTTACCAATCAGAATATGGGCTCAAGGTCATGGACTGCCTTGCACTGGGTTTCATCACTTCCATCCATGATCAATCCAATGAATGGATTTGACTGGGATCTTAGTATTTATAATGTTAATTTAGAGCATTGCTGTGACAGAGCCCTGTGGTTATGATTTGGGAATTTTTTGAATTTAAATAAAAGTTATACACTGAGTAATTTCAGAGAAGTTTATGGAATCTATATATTTTTTTCTTTGTTGGCAGGTCTTGCCGTTTATGGTCGGCTTCTTATGATGGCATCAACCCTCCACTTCAAGAGTATCGATCTGATACACCTGGTAACAACATGGAAGACGAGGAAGAGTTCATGCAGCGAGTCAAGAGTGACTCCATCTGCTCACTGGTTATCAGTCCTCCGCCCTCTGCCCTCTCCCCTACACCATCCTCTTTAGATAACAGCCAAGCGGGCAGAACCAGCTCCGCCCTTGAACTGGAGTGGGATGACATTTTTGCAGATGACAATCCCTTGCCTTCAGCTGTGGTAAACGTGGTGCTGGCGAATGGGGATCTATCATTGGATGCAGATACATGCACATTTCCACCAGCACCTCCCCCACTGCCTCCTCGACACATCCAGGAAATGCGGCGCAATGCAACCAAGCTGGTGCGCGGCTCTTATGTTGAAGAATCCGAGTTTCAGGATGATGTTCTTGTCTATGATCTCATTGCTAAAAAGGACGCAAAGGCAGCCATTTTGGATCGGATCATGCTGGCAAATCGCCAATCCCGTGGGAGCATCTCGAAAGGACAGCGAGTTTCAGCAACAGCGACAACATTAACGACGATGTTAACAACAACAGGAAGGACGGTTCTGGAAACTGTAAACAGCATTATGTTGACGAGGAGGAGGAGCGAGGATGCAGGAAAAGAGGAAAGAAGAAGGAGTGAGGACTGTGAAAAGGAGATAGGGAGAACAAAGGAAGGAGAAGAAGAAGAAACCAAAAGTATATTTGGACACAGAGGGTCACTGGGAGATCAGCTCTTTACCAATGGCTTTAATGTAAACAATGACATCATCGACGAATGTGATGATGCAGATGATGATATATACATTACAGCTCATGTCAGCCATACACCTAGAGCACATCAGCAACATGTACATGAAAGCATACAGTCACCCTCAACATGTTTAGTAAGAAACACTTTAACCAATGGCCATCATGAATCTGAATCATTTGACCGTCCCATATCTCCAAGCCTGCCTGACAGCAACACAAACAACAATGACTTCCTGTCCCAATACTGTGAGCTCATGCTGTCATTAGGGGTAGAACCAGACTATGAGGACATCACAGATGATATTGACACATTCAGGAAGCGTGTCCAAGTGCTAAGGCAAAGACTTGAAGAGGATGAGGAAGAGCTTTGCACTGACTTTGGTTTTAGCTCCTTTGGGGATGACTTTGGGGCAGAAGAAGAGGAAGAGATGATTCGAGAGGAAGACGAAGCGGAGAAGATCAGGAGCGACACAAAGAAAGGCGTCAGGAGACATCAAATTCCATTTACAGGTCTGTGCTTGTGTAACATTTAAAGCAGCTTCACTGATTTATTAACCTCAGTCACTATACACATTTTTACAAGACAGAATGAGAAAGTTTCTTTTGTGTCAAATATTCATAATTTTTTCCAATTAATGCTTAACGTAATGTAGGTTTGCAACATGGTAACGTGGTCAAAAATAAATGTAGCCACTGAAAATTGAAAGTGATGCTTAAAGCTGTTGGTTGGATGTCAGTTGTAAGACTAAAAGACCCCTCCCCCCCTTATTTTACACCTGATGCAATGCATTTTCTCTTGACGTACACTAACCAGGTCCATTCATCAGTGTGCTGTTGTCTCGGCTGGAGAACCTTCTCGAAAACTCTATTGCTGTAAACCTGCTTGTGACAGGCATCCTGGCCCAGTTGGCATCGTACCCACAACCTCTCCTGAGATCCTTCCTGCTCAGCACAGACACACAAAATCAGCCTAACGTTCGCACACTTTACCAGGTAGGACTCATACATCTGACACGTCTCATGCAGGTCAGACTGGATTTTGTTAATAAAAATGTTATGTTCACTTTCATTGTGTAGGTGCTGGTGTCGGTGCATGCTCAGATAGAGCGCTATGTGATGGCCAGACCAGACTATCCTGCTCTAGTAACTCAGGCCTGGAGGTTCTTGTTGGCAAAAGACCAAGATGGCAAATTCAGAGGTTAATAAGAACACATATAAACAGGATACAAAACAACATATGTTAAAGTTAAAGAAACGAGTTAGATAGTCTGCTTTAAATGGACAGTGTGATAGACAAGAGCAGGCAAGAGTCTCCCTCAGCTATGCTGTTTGCAGATGACATTGAATTGAATTGAATTGTATGGAGGACAGTGGAATATTGAATGTAGATGAGTTTAAATAGTTATAGTCAATCACTCCAAGGAACAGTGGGTGTGGAAAAGAGCTGAAGAAGCTCAGATTGGGCAGAATGGGTTTTTTTTGTGGCAGAAAGGTAGCAGGAGGAATAGAAATGAAAGATTCAAGGCAGACAGATTCAGGAGTGAGGATCTGGAGAAACAGCTCAGGTTGGACAAAGTAAGAATGACTGAATGTCTTTAAGCAGCTGAGGAGCTGTGATGGCATGACAGAGGATAAAAAAGACAAAGAGATGATCCACTGTGAAAAGTTGTACTTAAAAAAAACGTAAAAGAGTTGTTAAGTCGACAGCTCTTAATTTTACCAACTTATTCTGGCCATGCCAACAAACATCCTAAGGCCTTGTGGCCTTCATCAGAGAAGATCTGGACTAGAATACATTTGTGAAACTGAGAATTGTTCATTTTTTACTCTTGGGCAGTCAACACTGGAGCCACAGATGAGTACATCTGCTTTTCTTAGCACTGATAGCGCTGGGCAAGCCTCTAACTAAGCTTGAAATACATAATTTGTAGATGTTGTCAGGCCACTTCTGAAAGTGTAAACACAGTCATTTTTGGAAAGTTACAAATAAAACGTTTTTCAGACGTCAGTTTATGATACTTGTGTGTTTCCCGCAGAGTGCCTCCAGTCTCAGGGCGGTGACATCATCCTGGATCCATCGCTTCCCAATGGCTCTGTGAAGAACGCTCTGCCTTTGCCTCCTTTCAGTGTCTTGCCCCCCTGTCCTACTATTTCCCCTCAAGCCAAGAGCCGAGTCTTCGCCATTATCCTGTACGCCGAGTTCCTGAAGGAGTTGGCTGCCTTGGCCCAGGAGCACAGCATTGCCTTGGACTGTTATTCTGAGGAGTAACAAATGCAAACCGCTAGTTCAACTGTAAAAATCTGCCTCCCAGATTGCTGCTGATAAGATCAAGGATATGCTGTGACCACCAGCAAAAGACTGAGCTCAAGGAGAAAACATGTAGCATGAACTACTTTCCTCATCGAGGATTAATATAAGTGAATAATTTAAGTAATATAAATATTCAGATGTTGTGTATGTTCCTGGCAGCACTTGAAAATGTTGATGCTTTCCCCATGTGAATATGACTGATATTTATAAAATGATTTTGAAGGAGATGATTTTGAAGAATCAGTACTGAGTTTTATATATTTGTGGGATCCGTGAAAATAGTTTTCTACCATATTTTCTTAAATCTTTGCATGGTTTTGTTGAGATGGAAAAAGTTAGACATGTGGTTCAAAATGCAGAGGACCTTTTTATTCCTCCTCCTCAGGAAGGACAAAGTGCTGCAGAAGCTGGTTGACAATAAATCTTACCTTACATGCACTAAAGTGACTTTGCATCAAATAGATCTAAACTTTAATTTATTTTATTGTGTTTTCATATCCAGTAAACAATTCACTAATGTTCAAAATGATTCATTAAAACTGTTAATGCAAGACAATTTTTTCTTACTTTTAACACCAGCAATTTTTTTTCTCTTATAAAAGGAGGCAGTAAAATTTAACCTTGCTTATATTCCCAACATTTTCTTCGGGTTTTTTTTTAACGTGTATGGTAGTTCAAAGACATTTCTAAACCTCAAATATCCATCCAACATCTGACATAGCAGCTATGAAAAAACAGAATAAAAAATGGACAGAGCTTCAGAGTCTGAAGTTAAAGCAGACCTGTCTTAAATCTACATTCTTTTTACTGACCACCAGGGGGCAGTGCATGTGGTTGCAAAAGGATTTCTGCTCCTAAAGAAATCTATGGGAAACCAGCTCTTTGCCCTTATTTCACTAAACACTTCCTAATGAATTTATAAGCTCATTCACTAATTTGTTGTGATAATGAGTAAAGCAGTAAGTTCATTTTGCAAATTATTATTATTATGCTCAGAAAAGATGGTTATGGATGTTAGTTTGCTCATTTACTAATGACTAGTCATTATTTAAAGAGTATGTGATGTTCCTTGGTTTTATAGTCATAGTCGCATCCACACCTTTGGTTCCTGTGATTAATTATAAAACATTGAAACATTGACTTTGAGGCTTCGCAAACTGATGGGCAAAGTCACAGTGCCTAAATTTATCTTTTATACCATCTGTGGTTTGCCAGTGACAAACCCTCATCTTGAATCAGAGACACAGATGTCATAAAAGACAAGTGCAGACAATGTGGTCTGTAAAGTCCCAGCCTTGACCTGACTGTATGTACTGTCATCATCTGGGTGTTTTTCAAACTGTATGTGATAAACGAGGGGTGGATCTGACTGAGAAAGAGTCAACCTGTCAACAGGTCAATCATAAAATGCACTTCATCTTCTATTCAGTATGACCTGATGACCAGCGATTGTGACAATAAAGTCATCAGTGAAGTGTTCCCAAGGTTACAGAGCAAGGAATTTTCCATAGATGTATATGCAACCAGTTGCCTGAAGGAACTGCCTAGTGTGTCACCACAACAAGAAAAATGGAAGAGAAGGTTAAAGGATGGTAGAATTTTTACTTGTTTTTTTAGTGAGGTTTTACTAAACCTGACCATGAGTAAAAATGAAAGTTATTTCAACTATGTCAAGATTAAAGGCCTCACACAGGATGGAAATCCCAGGCAGGAAAGTGTAGCTCATGAGAGAGATTAGATCAGATTTTTTACTTCCTGATGACACTTCTCTATAGCACGATCAGTTGCACTTCATAGCATAGCGGAAAATAAGTCTGTGGTGTTAAAATGAATAGATGTTTCATCAGTACTGTCTTTATTATTCTCATTAGGGTCCTAAATATCAGTACTAATATACAAGGCACTGAGTGTTGTGAGATTAAGCACCTTATTTGTCCTTACTGTTGTTTTATTGCTGTTTCTATTTACTAGACTGGCTCATGTGCCTGACAAAGCCATTCTAGGTGTACAGTAATTCATTTTAGTTTTGCTTATGTGTATTTTTTGAATATTTTGAACCAGATGGAGGAAATTTAAATGCTGAAATTCAAACAAAGTGAGTGACAATCCTTGAAACGGTATCTAAAGTGTCAGGTTGCTCTGATCAGTTGTGTCTTCCTGTTTATGTGTTTTTGCTGCTGTCTTCATATGCAAACAAACACACAGGTAAAGTATCAAAAGCCTTACTTATATATATATATATATATGCAATATATAATGATGCAAAGTCAGTGGATTTTGATTTTCCATGCAGATATCAGATGTTATCTTTTCTTTTAAACCTCTGTGAATATGTTTTGTTGTTGTTAATATAACATTTTAAACTTTATGTTTGTCTTTAAGGTGAAATTTGTCCATGTTGTGATGCTCCTGTGCTTTTGTCTTTGCTGTGTTGTTTGTTGGAAGAAAAAGAGATTTGGGTTCCTGCTTACATAGTTTTCAGGTGGCAAACATTATCACCGATCTGACTTCAAACACCAAGAAACCACGTTTCTCTCTATTTTTAAGCAGTAATAGATGAGGTCTGTATGTAGAAACCACAGTTTCACCCATGTGCACACTGTCTGTGAATGCATCTATCAGATTCTCCTCCAACTGAGAACTGTTATTCAAAACCTATACTAATAAGTATATTGACAAAATAATTCCCTCATCTATCCAAATCATTGAATTCAGATCTTTCAGTCACTTCATGGGCACAGTTGTATAGAATCAAACACCTAGGCATGCAGACCACCTCTACAAACACCTGAGAAAGAATGGGTTGCTCTCAGGAACTCAGTGAATTTCAGTGTAGTAGTGTGATAGGATGCCATCTGTGCAACAAGACCAATTTCCTCGCTACTGAATATTCCACAGTCAACTGGAAGTGATTGGGAATGACAGAAACACAGTCACAAAGTGCTAGGCCACATAAAGTCAGTGGGGTCAGGAGATGCTGAGGCACATAAAGCCTCCAACCTTCTGCAGAGTCAATTGCTGCAGACCTCCAAACGTCATGTGGTCTTCAGATTAGAATGGGTTTCTATGGACGAGCAGCTGCATCCAGGATGCAGTGGTATAAAGCACGCTGCCACTGGACTAGCACAGTGGAGAGGTGTTCTCTGGAGGGACAAATCACACTTCTCCATCTTTCAAGGTGATTGAGGAGCCTGGTTGCCAGGAGAACGGTACTTGTCTGACTGCACTGTGCAAAGTTTAAAGTTTGGTGTGGAAGAACCTGATTGACCTGCACAGAGTCCTGACCTCAACACAAAAGATGTGGGATGAATTAGAGTTGAGACTGTGAGCCAGGCCTTTATCAGTGTCTGACCTAACAAATGTGCTTCTGTAAGAATTGTGAAATATTCCCATAAACAGAATCCTAAACGTGGGGGAAAACATTCCCAGAAGAGTTGAAGCTGTTTTCGTTGCAAAGGGTGGGCCAACATCATATTAAACCCTTTCGGATTAAGAATGAGATGTTAGTCATATGCCTGTGAACGCACATAAAATAATACTTTTGGCAATATAGTGCACCTGACTGAAGTCTGACTCTGATGCTGATTTGCATTAATGCTGGCACAATCTGGTGGACGTTTGCTCAGATCTTATTCTTCTTGTCACCAGTGTTCCATCATCTGCTTTGAAATAAATTATTACCAAGATGATACAACTTGACACAGAAAAGATTTTTGTTTTACGTCTTGGTCATTTCTTCTTGTGGCATAGATAATGTTTGCATTTTAGCTTTTGCAATCAGTGATAAAGTCTGGTGCCTAACCCAAAAGAGAGATTTTTGCACTTACACTGTGCAGCAATCAGCAGTCTAAGTTTTGCTGTATTATCACATTATCAGGTCCTGTACATTTATAATCTGGTAACACTTAAGTTGTGTACATATAGGCATGTATATATTTAAACTAATTACTCAACATGTTGCAGTGTTAAAAGGTGAGACCAATCAGGGAATCGGAGGAAGACAGACACAGGAAGTTAAACATTACACATGAGAAAAGCTAACCTTCAAAGTAAGATCTGTTGAAAATAAGTCATGGAAAAGTCAGAGGACCACTAGAGTAAAAAGCATCCTCTAGATAAACATTTGAAATCTGTACAAAAGACCTGTAACAAAAGCTGCAAATATCGACATCATGGTGGCCCTGATGTCAAAGTCGAAGCTTTACGTAAGTCTGCAAGCAATAACAAGTCAGCTGATGTAGTTCACTGTGGTTTAGCTAGTTCCTGTTTTTGTATATACAAGACTTACTGAATGAAGAGTTCAAGCAGACATCAAGGTGACAGCCGTCAGTCACGAGGAGAAGATTGGTTTGAAATTTTCACATCAAATTTGTCAGAGAAGAACAACAAAGCATTAACGGATGATGCGAACGATGACACTTTGCCTGCTGTTGTGGGTTCTTGGTGAGTGAGTTAAAACTGTGCGTGTGGTTTATTGTTTTGCTTTTAAATGGCATCATGGTAGGGTGCGTCTCAGTCATGATTTGTATTGATGGGGTTTCAAACAGCTCAGACAAAAGAAACACTTATAACAACTTGTTAATTATTGGTGAATTAACATTTATTTAACCTTTCATGCGGTTTACTAGTAAGAAAAACAACAATTCTAACTATTAATGCTTAATTAATATATGATAGGTTATATGTGTTATCAAAAATAATTATATGCAGTATTTTAGACATATTGTAGCTGTAAAGAGACAGTATCAAATATGGTACATGTTTTATACGCATAAAAAAGAAAGTAAAGGCTTTCTCAAGATTTTACATATCAGGGCATAATAAATATCATGTCGTCCTCGGCAAGTCATAACATTTTTGAGACACATCCTCAAATGAACAGTACGTGACATTACACTATGTCACTATTTATACAACAAAACCTAAACCAAAATACAGAAGTAGAGTGTGAGAAACAACCTCACTGAAAGCTAGGAGCTGTATATAAGCGATAAATAAAAACTGAAAGTAATCATTTGTTATTCTCATAAACATTTTTATTCACAACAGAACATAGAAAATAGATCCAATGTTTAAACTAAGAAAATGTAGCATCTTAGGAAAATATACTGGCTTATTTAGAATTTGATGGCAGCAACATGTCTCAAAAAAGTTGCAAAAACATGCAACAAACTAATAGAAAAGTAAGTGTTACTGGTAAATGTACTGGTTCTTATACAGTGCTTTCCTACTCTATCCCAATGGTAGTCATCCTAGAACACTAGCTCGGAGGCGAGACCGTGCAGTGCTGAGAGAAACATACAAGAGACACTTCTCAGACTCTATAGGCCACTGCACACTAGTGGTGGAGTAATGATTTGGCCTCATTTCACAGCCAAAGATAAAGTTTAGCTGAAACTGGGTCATGCAGGAGGAATCTGGTCCCAATCAGATCAGCAAATCTGCAACATGATGGCTGAAAAAGAAAAGACTCAAGTTCATTTAACACAATTTAAATGCTCTGGAGGGACCTTAACAGAGCCGTGCAGAATTTAATGCCCACAATCCTCAATGAACTAAAACAACATGAGTGTTTTAGTTCGTGAGCCAAACATCCTCAACAGCAATGTGAGAGACTAATAAAGTTACACAGAAAATAAGTACTTCAAGTTATGGCTGTTAAATGTGTTTCTACAAGCTAATGAATTGTGAATATTTGTTTTTCACTGCTTCTTCATTTCGTTTAGCGTTTGTTGCTGT